ACTATATAATAATTATAGTGGTAGTGGTGCTGGGGATGATAACAGTAATAATAATAATAATAATAATAATAATAATAAGAAGAAGAAAAATAAAATAATAATAATAACAACAACAACGGTAATAGCACAAATAATAGAAATCCCTGTAAATATATTGATAATAATAACAATAATGAAAACTACAAAAATAATAACAATAATAATAATGTACAAAAGGCACTGATGAGAATGAATATCTTCACACTACAAGAAATGTATTTAACCGGTTCGTCAGAAACACATGATATAAGGACAATAATAATAATAATAATAAAGATAATAATAATAATAATAATATAAGATAATAATAATAATAAAATTAATAAAGATAATAGTGATAATAAAAGATAATAAAAGATAATAATAATAATAATAATAATAATAATAATAATAATAATAATAATAATAATAATAATAACAACAATAATATATGGATAATGATGATGATAACAATGACAACAGCAACAATAATAATAAGTATAAGAATAATGTCACACGATAAAATATCATAAGAGCGAAAACAAAATAAAGTCTAAAATCCTCTAATTTTTCAGCCAAAATGAATCTTCAGAACTACCAAACAACCCACTTGAAAAGGCGGTTTACCTTAACAATGTCCAGTTTATGTTAGGTCAGTGTGGTATGCGCGCCAACTTGGGTACATCGTCTCCACATCGGATCAAATACACTTTTTCTTTAGATTACACGTACCCAAGTATAGATAAAACTGGTCTACGTGATAAAGAGACTATTATGAAGACCAGGACAACTTTTAGTCACTAAAGAGGAGGGGCTTACGTTATAAATTGCTTCCCAGATGCTGTAGAGGTGTTTCCGACGGACTTCGCTTCCAAATTTCAGGCTTTACGAGAGAGTGTAGCCGCGGTTAAATGATTTTCCTACGGCTATTCTGCTTTGGGCAAGTGTGACTGCCAAATAAGCTCGTTTTTGTCTTCGAGTCTACTACTATTATTTTGGTTTTGCGTTATTTTTGTTTGTTTTTTGTTTTACTCCTAGTGCACGTTCGTATGTTTACATTTTGTCGATTCGCGAAGCGTTAAGGAACACCAGACTTAAAATAGCTTTCATATTTATTTTGCATTACGATTATTACGCTATTAATGTACGAATATGTAGCCAATAAACTATCTGAAATCGCAACTATTTATTCTCTTTTGATACTTGCTTTCGCATTGGTAAAATTATTGGCTGTATTTAAGCTTAGAACAGAGAGAAGAAACATTTTCATTATATTGTTATTGACATTGTATTTCTCCGTTGCCTTAAAAATGTTTCGAATTTACCAAGGATTGGCGTTTTCGCACACATGGGTTTATTAAATACAAAAACTCATTCCCAATATACTGACGTATCCTAATTGCGGTTAGATGTCCATGCTCATGTTCTGCTCAGTGAAATGAACTTCGACTTGTCTCATGGTACTTTTTAAACATCTATTTATTTATCTATTGCTATTGCAATAGATAATTTGTTAATATTTCGCTAAACCTACATTTAATAGCTTCAGACTACTTTTTTATAGGAAATACAAACCACCAGGAGGTATGTTCAAAGCTTTACCGGTTTAATCACATGTGCTTTGATTTATTATAACCAACTGCCTAAATAATATCGTTCTATCGTCCACATGCATTTGTCTCGTATGATGGTAAGGCATTGCTCCTTTCTTAAAAAAAAAAAAAAAAAGTTGGTAGTGGTAGGGAGTGTCAAACACAGTTTCAATTTGCGTCTAATGTGCGAGGTTTTAAACCACTTCTGATGAAAATAAGGTCTCCATTCAAGAAAGGTTAATCTTAAGGAACATATATATACTAATAGTGAGAGATAGCCGTGACGCAGAAGAGAGATTAATGTCATGTTCTGCTGAGAGACAACAGAAATGAATACAGTATGGCGTTGAGAGACAGCAGAAATGAATAAGAATTTAATGCTGAAAGACAACAGAATATAATAAGTATACTAATACTGGCAAACTAGTGATTTCCGTATGCTAATGCTGAAAGACTGCAATAACGAATACTGTGAGACAACATAAATGAGTAAGTATACTAACACCGATAGACAAGTCATAAATATGTAGAGTAATACTGAGCAACAGTAAACACCAATAGCATACTGGTGCTGAGAGACCGCAGTAATTAACGTTATCTCTCCATACTTAGCGGTGTGGGGAGATGACTGTAATAAAAATTGATAGTAATACAGAATGATAACGAGGATGAATAAGGAGAGAAATGGCATTCATGAATAAAGGTGACAGACACGAAAA